AATTTATTTTTTAAATACTGCTCCTTTTGCCACCTAAAGTTTTGGCAAAGATTTATTGCTTACAGAGAACAATTCCAGGCCATTTCCTCACAAATGCAATACTGAAGACCACTTCAGGGAGTCATTTAGCCTTTCTGTAATGTTCATACCCTTCAACACAGACTGTGACGTTTTTCACTTTTAGGTGCTGCTGAGCACAGAACACAAGACATTTCAGTGCCATCTATCACAGAGACCAGATTTAAATCTTACTTCTACCAGTCTTAACCTAACTTTCTCTCTGACAGTATTACTAATATCAGTATGTTCCATGATTTAGGGCTTCATTCAGTTGCAACCGAAGACAACCACAGTCTCTTAACCGATTTCAGTAGCAACTGTATTAAGTTCTTTACAGTTTTACAGAAACGGTCAATAATGATGATCCGATTTTTTTTTTTTGTACTGTGGGCTTTCAACCAGTAGACTAAATCAACATCAATGGCTAGCTACAGTCAGAGAACAATTTCATTGCTCACATTGTATGTTAAAGTTGACCTAGAAAAACAGAGTAAAGAAATCTCCACTTTTATTAGCAGGACCAATTTAAAACTAGAAAAAGTCGTATCACATCTGAGCCCAGCCTAAGTCAGTGGTTTTGTAATGGAGTCACCTCTAAAATCACTTTATCTTGTCAAATTACAATTTAGGAGGAAGCCTGGGAGGCAAAGAAATGACAGATGTCTCTTCTGAATCTGTGAGATGCTGAGCTGTTTAAAGGAAAGTGAAAATGTGACAAATCCATTCATATTTTCCAGCAATACTGCCACTTCCCATAGTGGGGCTGCAAATTCTACTCATAGGAATGTGTTTGCCAGCAAGGCACATCTAGAGCAGAGACTCACCAACCAACCTCCTGAGCTACAGAAATTCCTAACAGCCCTTGGAAACTCTGTAGGGAAGGTCAGAGTGAGAAGACTGCAGGCATTTCTCTTTCTCCACAGACCTCTGTATGTTGTTAAAGGGAAAACCTCTGTTTTGCTTTAAAATTCTCACCAGCCTCCCCTCCTGTGAGCCCTAGTATGTTCCCCTCAAGCCTCAGCAAGTCTCAGTTACTCTCATTAGTCCATGAGGGGAAAAAAGCCTCCTGAGGACGTTTCCTTAAAATAGGAGATTTCACAGAAATCATCTAAGTTCTACATTGGCTCCAGCTTATCCAGTAAATTTTGATCTTGGAAATAAAACACCAGCAGGGTCAGGGCTACTAATTTTATTCTTTCTTCTATGCATGTTTCTTCTTAAAAGATATAAAATGCTCAAGCAAATGTTTGGAACTCTGGTGATCATTATCAAGTTAAGAATTCAGTAATTTAGAACTCTGACAAATTAATTTCAAATTTTGAAGAAGAATTTTCTATTTTCTCAGACCTAATCTTCTCAATTTTGAGTCTCTCATGGTTTTGAAAAGGTAATAAATCTGGCTTACAGTGGATATTTGCCCTACAGAGTGGTTGTCAACACCATGTAAGAAATGGGTGACTGACCGACTTTGCATAAAACCATTGTAAGGAATAACCAAGTAATACATAGATATGACATAGGGCCTCCATTCATTAAATGCTTTACAGTGCAGTAAGTCAGCATCTGAGACACATGACAGAAAGACATCAGTCAACATGGCTACTGCAAAATGTCCTTTCACAAAAAAGCATTTGGCAGCAGCTTTAACAGAAATTTCCTCTTCACACACATTCCAAATCTCCAAAAATCTTACCTCACTAAATAAATCCAGCTCCATTGCTGAAAGTCATAAGCAATATAGCCCTTCATTGCTACCACACAGAAATAGATCCAAACATAAAACCATCTGTTTCCTAAGGAAAAAAACCAAATCCCACACACAAATTAGCACCTTCTCCATTTCTTCATAGTCTGTTGTTAAGTTTTCAAATTTTTAATTCAACTATAAGTTAGCAGAATGATATTCACAATTAAATTAGCTTTTCCAACTCTGAAACAACAGTTTAATCCATCATTTTCAGAAATGCCTCCTACTCAAACTGTAAGTCAGAAAAAGCTTATTATCCATAGATTTGGCTTTATATTCAAATTCAGAGCAACGGACTCTCAACATACCAAAACTGGAGCTTTGCAAAGTACCCTTAAAGAGTGCAAAGTAAAAATGTGGCTATAGTTATTAAATTATCCTTAGTGTATGATGTTCTTACAGTGCATGCTAACTACTCAATAACGCTTGACCTTGTTTCAGAGAAAACTATTTTTCCATAGATTAATTTGCATGCAACGTAATTTTATAACCAGCCTTAGAAAAGGTCTTCTAGGATTCATCCAATTAAGCTCTTAATTATGATAACTTTTTGTAGTATTTCTACAAGACCCACTGTGTTCCTGGAAAGTTAAGGATCATACAGCATTGAATTATGAAGTGTGTAACACATACGAGATTTCATTGCACATCTACATATATGCATGCAACTACTCCAACAGATTTTGTCTGATACAGGCTGTCTTTAGTAGAAGGCAAATCACTTTTAATCAACGGTTAAATGAGAATAGTCTTGAACACACAAAACCAACCTGGAGAATACACAATTTGGCTTCATAACATTATCTGACACTTCTTTAAAAGCTTTATTGATGATTTCTTGATAAGCAGCATTCAATACTTCAAGTGTATCTACTGATATTGTAACATATTTAAGTAAATCCTCTACAAATATCTTGTCCAAACAACAACAAAAAAAAGTAATGCTGTGACAGACTACTTTCAAAAGCATTTTTAACTCCCTGTTTAATGAAAGAATTTGTTTCTGAGGAATAGACATTTATAATTTCCTCTCTACCCATTTTCGTTTTACATTTTATTTCTTAAAGTCAGCAATGCCCAGAATTTATTCATGTAAGCTCTGAAATTGATTTATGTTAAGTGGCTAGGCACTAATATTTCTGGGTTCCGTTACAAGCTTCTTCCTTGTCTTGTCATATAACTTTGATCAAAGTCAGCTACACTCAAAATTTTAGGAGTGCCTACTTTTGGTTATTCATGCTGAGAAACATGGAGTGTCATCTCCAGAGGTAATGAATACCTAACAGGTTCAATTCATTTCATTTGAAGCTTTAAGTGTTCAGCAAACCTGGAGAGAAAACCAGATTCAAAGACAGAAGACCAAAAAGTGATGAGGCATGCAAAAGTCATTGATACCTCTTAAGGTAGATGTGACATTAATAATGGGAAGTTTGTACAGAATCTTCCTAATGATGGGACATGAAGCACATGCCGCACCAATCAGACTAATGAGGGGAAAAAAGACAGGGCTTCATTTCCCTTAGTATTTCTCTTTCCTGCCACCTCCAAGGAATCTGCATCTGACTTGTAAAATCAGGTCTTGATGTCTTTACATGTCATGTTTTTACCTAGAAGGAGAGTATAGCAATATTTATCTGTATCAGCAGACTTTCCAATGTTTGCAACATGAATTCTGAAGGCTGCAAAACCTTGTATAAACATACAGTATCGTCAGCTTCCAGCCTCTGTGCCAGTTTCCAGCTTTCAGGTAATCAAAACACAATGTACCACAAATGTAAACAGTAATGATATATCCAAAGTCCTTCCCAAGAATCTTCATACAAATGAGACTAGACATACAGAGCTAGTCACTGAGCTAGTCATTTCATAGTCACTCGGACAGGCTGGAGAACTGAGCTGAGAGGCACCTCATGAAGTTCAGCAAGGGGAAACGCCAAATCCTGTGCCTGGGGAAGGAACAACCCCGTGCACCAGTGCACGCTGGGGCCTGACTGGCTGGAAAGCAGAAAAGGACTTGGGGGTCCTGGTCGACAACAAGTGGATCGTGCACCCACATGGCAAAGCAGGACAACAGCATCGTGGGCTGGATTAGGAGAAGCGTTGCCAGCAGGTGGAGGGAGTTGATCCTTCCCCTCTGCTTGGCACTGGTGAGACACCCCTGGAGTGCTGGGTCCAGTTCTGGGCTCCCCAGTACAAGGGAGATATGGACATACTGGAGAGAGTCCAACAAAAGGCGAGGAAGTTGATGAAGAGACTGGAGCATCTCTCCTACGAGGAAGGGCTGAAAGAGCTGGGACTGTACAGCCTGGGAAGAGAAGGCTCTGGGGGATCTTATCAATGTATATAAATGCCTGATAGGAGAGAAGGAAGACCGGCTCTTCCCAGTGGTGGCCAGAGACAGGACAGGACAGGAGGGACGCAGATTAAAACACGTGAAACTCCACGTGAACTTAACAAAACACTTCATTTTTACTGTGAGTGTGGTCAAACACTGGCATGGGTTGCCCAGAGGTGTTCTGGAGTCTCCATCCTTTGAAATACTCAAAGCCCAACTGGACATGGTCCTGGGCAACCTGCTCTGGCTGACCCTGCTTGGGCCAGGGACTGGACCCCCCCTCAAGAGGCCTCCTCCCACCTCAAGCAGTCGGTGATTCTCTGAGAAGCCCGGCTGCACCCCTCCGCCTTTCCTGAGGAGAGGGCAGCGTTAGCAGGGCTTGTCCAGCAGACATTAGCAAAGCCAACGTGTCTGCCGCAAGACCCCTCGGTGGAGAACCCGCAGCATTGACGCCAGAATGGTTTTTCATCCGGACGTGCTGTGGCACAACCAAACCCATCCTTCCCTCCACAGACAGCCACTACAGCCCTTTCTCCAGCACTCCTCCTCACGCTACTGGGTTGCTCCACACCTTAATACGCTGGGAAAACACGGTAACAGGTCAAAACCGGCAGAAACGGGACCGCTTGTCCCAGAGGACGTGCCCCTGCACCCCCTCCGCCCCAGCCTTCCTCAGGGCTGCCACCTCGCCCCCTTTCCGCGACGGCGGGAGGCGACCCGCCCCGCTAACTGTCATGGCGGACCGCCCTCGGCGGGCGGCAGCGGGACTTCCGCCTCGGTACCCATCATGGCGGGAAGGCGCCCGGGAGCGGAAGGGAGGGCGTCACCTCAGCGCCTCCCCGGCTGCCGCGGGCGTCGGTTGCCATGGTGCCGTGAGGCGCCCGCCGCCATGGCGCTGCCCTCGCCGCCCCCGGCCCGCGTCTTCGCCGAGCTCCTCCCGGCCCCGGCGCCGGTCCCGGCCCCGGCGCCATCCGGGCGGGAGGTGCATGTAAGCGGCAGCGCGGAGCTGAGCGCCGGCCCGGACCGGGCGCGGGTGTCGCTGCGGTTGGGTAGCCGAAAGGAGGCGGCCGGGGCGGCGCGGAGCAGCGTGGCCCGCCGGCTGGAGTACATCGCCCAGAGCGCCCGTCAGCGCGGCGTCCCGGTGAGAGCCGCCGCTCGGGGGAGGGAGGGAGGGAGGCAGGGGGGGTCCTCCGTGGCGCCGGGCTCGGAGCGGGGGAAGCCGGGCTGGGGCAGCCCTGAGGGGAAAGGCGGGAAGCCGAGGAGTAACGGGGGGTCGGGAGGGCGCCGGGGGCTGCCGTGGCAGCCCGCCTGCGGCGGGGAGGCGGCAGGGTCGCCGGCCCCGGTGGAAAAAGTGGAATGTGGCCCCTCGGGGCTCTCCGACGGGTCGGTCGTTCGGCGTCTGAAAACCGCCCTGCTTCGACTGTTTCGCCTGCTGGTGTGGTACGGCCTCCTCACGGACTGACGGCGGTACACGGCGGCGTCCCTTCACCTACGCGTCCGCGGGAGTGGCGGTGTGACTGTGGGATTACCACAGCGTAGCGGCCGGCGCCTACGCAGCTTTTTCCTCTTTTTTCTTCCTCCCTTTAAGTAGAGAGGTATGAAAGGACGCGAGGCGTGATCAAGGTGGCTGAAGTGACAGAAGCCCCTTGTGGACTCAGAAAGTTCCTTGACCGTAATACGGTTTTTGGCCTCAGGAAGTCGTTTTGTGGCAACGAGAAAAGCACAGTCTTGCCTTGAAAGCTTTGTCCGCGCTGCAAATGCTCCGTAAGGGTGGTACTTGTCCTAGCAATCGTGCTGCTGATGGTTTTGGATTTTATAAAACGGTTTTGGGCAGTGTTCCACACCTAGGACCCTTAAAAACACTACAGAGCTGATCTTTGATGGAATAAGTGGTTGCTTTTGAAATTTACTTACCGTTGGAGCCCCCTGGGAAATTTGTGCCTTTTTAGTGTATTCACAAACAGGCCGGGGAAAAGGGAGGTGACAGACTTTGCTATCAACACCAAATTATTCAATGTAGTAAAACCGAAAAATCGCAGAAGGGTTTAATGATACTGCATGATGTTACAGGGGAATTCAGTATTAGTAAATGCGAAGTAAGAGAGTAAGTTACTTGGCCTGAACAGTGATATGCTTACAGTGAAATGGCATGCACAGGTCTCAAAAGCTGCATGTGTTTAAAGATAAGAGCTGGCTCCAACTTCCCCCCCCAACCCCCAGGATTTACTGTTTTCTTTTAAAACTGATGGTGATGCTGTCTTTTTTTTTTTCTGTAGTAGCCTAGTAAAGCATTTGTTCAGGAATAAAGAAGAGAATTAAAAGGGCCCCTTAACCCCTGATTTAGGAAAAGGTGATATTGCAGCTATGGGACTAGAGGGCAAGGAGACATGGAGGCTGCTGTGGGCTAGCCATGTAATCCTGCTCCCTGCATTTTTCCCCTTTGCACAGTTGGGTGCGCGTCTGTCACGGGGAGCACGATTCTGTTGCCATCAGAATTACTTGTTCAGTCAGAAACCACGCATTTTTGTATGGGATTACAGGTTGAATGCATTCAGTTTCTATTAAGTGAGTTAATAGGAGTTTAAAGTCAGAAGACAAGGCAACTCATCATGCATTCATTTTTATTAGTAGAGAAAATTATAAGTTTTGTACCCACCACCGTGGTGACCTATCAGATCATGGGGTATTTTTCATCCTGGCTGCAATTAAATAGCTCCTCAGAGTGTGGATAGGTAAGAAAAGATAGTTGCAGATATTTAACCTACAGTGAATCCGAATAACTGACTTCAACGTTTGATGTGAGCCTGATTGAATTAGGATAGCATGGAGCATTCGACACATGGCGGATGGCACACAAAAGGAGTAGGCAGGATGTGAAATAAGTGAGCGTGCTTTAGAGGGGCTCTGTGCACTACTTCAGGCTAGAAAAAAGAATTGCAAAATGAAGTATGACCTGGACAAACAAATGGTTACATTTGGGTATATGCAGTCAGATTCAGAAATGTAATGGGACCAGGTAAGCAGTGGTGGTGTAACCTAGGGGGAGAGTGGACTGTTTTTACAACGTCAGAGCATTCAGTGTCTTATAATAATTTCACAGTAATCTTTTGCTGTTTCAGAGATGCCATGCATTGGAGAATGGAAATGTTAGTTTTTTCTACTTACTTGAGGGACTGTGAAATGCTGCTTAAGTTGTGGGTTTCTCAGTGTTAGCAAAGTGTTAGCTCTAGGGAACTCTGAGAAAAACAACATGAAGTTTTTTGGGGTTTGTTTTTCAGAGTAGTTCCCTGCGGTATAATTTTTAGTGCTTTGTTCCATCCAATTTTAAATCACTCCACTGCTGGAGCTTTTATTTGCCTTGTAGCTTTTCTACTGACAACTCTCACTGCTGGCAATTTGTTCTTAACTGCATTTGCTAACATCACTTGTAGCTAATACCATTCTAGACCACTGTAAAATTAATATCTCTTCACAATCTCCATACAGTTCTAGTTTTTGCAAGCTTATCTAAGGCCTCTTTAGAAATTGGCTGGTAATTCTATATATTTATTTTTAATTAATCTATAGAACAAGTTCCTTAACCCTTGTTGTTGCTATCATAGGAAGGCTGTGAGATCAGAAGTGCATAACCTTTGCAGCAGCAGCAGCTTGCATTAGCAGCTTGTCAGGATGCCTGGGGGCAGCACCTAATTTCCATATATATTTACACAGGATTTTAATCAGAAATAGATGCACATAGTAGCATTTATTTATAGAGTGCTGTAAGTATATGCAGCACTTCAGAGCACAGAATCTGCTTTGAAGGCTGCAGGGAAAGTAAAATCAATGGGGAAACCAATCTCTCTTACTCAGCCCAGCTGCTCAAAAGTAATGCTTTTTTTCTCTTTCTCTAGAAGCAAACTGATTTTATATTTACCACCTGTGATTTATTTGGGGAGTGGTGTGGAGATGACATTTGTTTTCTTTACTCACTGTATCTAACAATTGGCATTGGCCATCTTGTTTAAAAATAACTGTGATATATTTGTTGTACCGGTCAGAGTATTTATTTAACAAAATAAACCAGTTCACAAACTATATCCAGTTGACTCTAGCTTAGAGTTTTTCTGTAGTGGGATGTATCCTTGGATATATGTGCAATATTCTCCATATTTTGAGCTTGTTATTTAGGAGTCACAGTTATGGATGCACATCCATAGTCAGTGGAAAAAAAAAGATTTTGAAGTTTTGGTCACTCAGTTACAAAATCTTCCAATTTCAATATCTCCTTGAATAGGAAATGTAGAAACCTGCATAAGGCATCACCTTTTTTAGAGTACTGTGTATTTTAAGAAATATCCCAAAGTATCCTTACATTTGCTGAGTACAAATCTAATTTTTACCTTTCTTAATGAATGGACATTAAGCAGCAGAAACTTCACCGTAGATTTTTAGGCTGTCATTCTGTCCGTCTAACGCCAAACAGAAGAGGCAGAGTGAGAGGATGAGAGGCTGGGGCACAGGTACCTGATGCCGAGCTGGGGTACACGCTGACCGTAGGTGCTGATCATCCATAACTGTCTGGGGACACTATGATGGATGGACTGTTAGGAGATATGAGCATACATCAAGACTCTCACTACCCATTTCTTTAGTACTAAGAATAAAAACACTATGTTGAGGTGGAAGAAGTGAACTCTTTTATTTGTTTAAATACCTTCATTTTTTCATAATGGAAAGTTATACTGGATATATCAGTGCAAATGTACAAGTAAATTTTAAGACTTGTTTCTGGGTGTCTCTAGATTTTTTTATTTATAACTACACATATCAGCGTAGCTTACCACAATGTGCATTAGTGTATGTTTCCAAACTGTAAGCACTTTCCCTTGCTAAGGCTGGTCTTGTGTTTCATAAAAAGGTCTCACAGGTTTGTTAACTCAGTGACTGGGAGCAGAACACATAACTTTATCTGCAGATAGGCTTTTCTCGTAGTGTATTGTTATATAGCTGTCTCCTTGAAGTGTGCTTTTGCTAAATTACCTATTTAGTCTTTTCCCTGTTCTGGGGAAAGGAGTCATTCCTGTAAACAGCGATGGTGTCGTGAGGGTGGACACAATGCTCCTGTGAAGAAGATATTGTTCAGAAATAGCAGATAGGGAGGAGGAAGGGCTATGTAAGATTTTGTTCTGTTGAAAAGAAGGAAAATATAAGGCAAAGCACAGTTCTAGACTTGATATTATAACCTCAGTGGGATATTGACTGTCTTTTTCATTTTTGTTTATAGAGTACCTGCAGCAGTGATGGTTCATGTCACTGCTGGCTCAGAAAATAGGCTATATAAGCAGAATGCAAGTGCGATTCTGTTAAGGATTGTTCAATGGCTTCTGGGGTAATTGAGTTATCACGTAACAATGTTATATTTATTTAATTTTCGTACTGTGATTCTTGGCCCACAGATTTAGAAAATAGAGAAAGTTATTCCAGAAGTCCAGAATACCTGAGACATCAGAAGTGTAGCTTTCCTTAAGTCACAGTAAAAACTTTTTTTCCTGTGGCTACTGCAATCAAATGGATAGTTCCTCAGCCAAAATATGAACAGTAGGCATAAGCAGTAGGAAAAAAAGCCTTTTGCTTTTGATGTAGTTGAAGTCCTGATTCCAATTTAAAATTCTATCATCACCTACCTGTCTTTTCCCTATCTTTGTCCAAACACCCCCTGAACAGGAACGAAGTACCTAACAGAAGATGTATCTCAGGAGGCCACCTTGTTATGACTTCAGCAATTATTTCGTCAATTTATCTTCAATAACACGTACAGCTACTGTCAAATCTGGTGGGATAAAAATTAGCTGTAAGGGAAATTTTGTAATAGATGGCACAAAATGATCTTTCACTCCGATTGCATTGATCTTGCAATAGTGCCTGGAGCCACAGGATGGCACTGTCCTTAAATACACGGGGAGCTTGTGGAGGGCAAAACCAAATCAAAAGACCTTAATCCGTTCAGCAGGAAAGAACTTTTTTTAAAAAGGATTAAGGAGCGGGGACAAGGAAAAACAAATGCACTTTTTCTGTGTTTGCTCTAAAGTTTTATTACAGTATAGTTATTTCTGTAAAATATGAGTTGTGGAAGAAAGCTTTTCTGTGCGGTTATTTCTATGAGATACATAAGAGCTGTAGAAAAACGTTTCTTGTCAATTGTAATTGGATTCTATCATAAATAGTAAGATTGCTCCATTTTGTAAATTAAATGAGGAGTTGGTGCTGGACTGACTTGAGCGCTCTTTAGCAAACCACAGCCAGTCACACTGCCAAAGTACCTCAAACCTATGACTGCAAAAGGGGAAATATGTTTTTTAGGGACTAACTGGCTCTGATCCTTGCCCTTGCTAGAAGAGATTATCCAAAAATAGGACTGTTGTGCTTGAATATGAGCACTGCCAATCAATCATAAAATTAAAATTTCAAAATTTCTTTCTTGTAGGCTGCTGTGCAATGGTAATTATGGATCTAATTTCCATATGATATTTTAAAAGGAAAATGCTTCTCATGATTAATGTCATTTATATAAAACTTAAGCATGCATGCTACATGATAAACTTGAAGATTTGAGCCTCTGTAGGAAATATTCTGACGCAAAGCATCTTTTGAAATGTGTCGACACTGAAAGCAAATACTGTTTTCCTGTACAAATAAATTTAGTAAGTAAAACTTTTTCAGCAATTGGAAGGCTTAGTATCTGCTTTCCTATGGTTCCTGGGTATTAAATGCAAAGTTATATTTATAGTTAAATTGAAAACTGTGCTTTTTGTTGTGTTATAGTAATTCTACAATAAATTGTTCATCCAACTACTGTTTACTGAAGAGCAAAGTGGGTGAAAGAAATGTGATTGTTACACTGCTAGCAAGCTGGAAATATTCAGATGTAACTGGAGTTATTCTGTATCTTAGTTCAGTGTCTTATTTATAAGTCTTAACAGGATTTGCTAGTGCTCTGTGCAGCCATTATGTTGAATAATGTACCTGCTGTTAATGCGAAAGTGTCACTGGTGGAATAACCTCTTTTAAGGGTTACCATTCTTGCCAGAATAACCAGTGCTCAGTCATTGTTCACATCACCTTGCTACAAGCTGCTACTCTTAAAATATCTTAAAATAGGGGCCTGAAAAGCACTTCTCACATACTAACTTTCTGAAAACAATTGAAGCTTCTAGTTTTTTGGACCAGGTGAATTTACCGTTACACACTGATACACACAGCTTCTAGCTAGCAGTCACTTTTAAGACCTAATTGTTTTCTTCAAGTGAATAGCAGCGAAATTACATTATAGAGCTACTGTATAATTTACTTTAAATAATGTCAAGAAGTCTTTAACACCCAGCTAATTCTTAACTGAAGAGATTTGCATGGAAAATTCCAAATTTCTGTTGCTGAGCCATAAGTAATAAGCCCAAACAGTTAAACTTTTACAGGACGCCATGAACATATATTTCCAACAGATGGTTAATTTCTGTCTTTTAAGATTATATTCTTGTACTTTTGTTTTAGGAAGAAAATATGACTGTAACAGAGGATTTCAGTAGAGTAGAAAATACTTACCAAATGGAAGCAGAGGTATGTATTCAACCTAACCAAAAATAATAATAAAAAAGAATAAGAAATGTTGCAAGGACTGATGAAAAATTGCAGACTGTCTTTCCTCATACTGAGGAGTAGATGTTCTCTACGGTAAAGGCAGCATAGTCCAAAGAAACTACTGAAGGACTGCAGTTTAAAGCAGAGTTCAGCTGCAGTCTTCTGTTGTGTGCAGAACCTGTTTTCTGCTACTGTAATATAAAAGGAATTATTTTCTTGTCAGATTAATATGTGCTTTTTAAATATTACATGATGCTACAGAAGGGAATATTTGGTTCTGGGGCTCCAAGGTGGTTGTTCTGTGTCAGTGGAAGCTCTCCTTCACCCATAGCCCTTCCTGCCCTCTGCTTTTTGCAGGGAGTTGTACTTAGGTGATCAGGTGATAGGTCAGTTCAGAAAGCTGCTCTAGTTAATAACTTTTTTTTTCCCAGGTTAGCTTTTCTTTTTTCCACTATTTTAGCTCCCTGAACTGGAGGCAATGCAAGGCAGAGGACAAGAGTGGATGGGGGACAACAGTGGCATGGCAGCCCTAATCTAGATCTGTTTAAGCCACAGTTGAACAGCACCTGGACTTTGATCTATTCTACACGACTCTGCCATCAGCTTGCTGCAAGTAAAGCAAAGCTAATTGTTTCCTAGGTAATTGACTTGGAATTCTGTAGGTGAAAAGTGCTGCGTGAACGCTAAATATTATGGGAATAATCCCATTTACTTCCGAAGCAACTCAAGGGAGCATATTTTTGCACATTCATGCTATAGTAAGAAATAAATGCTGTGCTGGAAACATTCACTGAGGGAAATGATGTGTTTTCAGTCAATGGATCTTTTTAGAGCATCAAACTTTAATCACTACCCAGCAAATTTACAGATTCTTATGAAGTAAACCTGGAAGCCTGCAATAAAATGATAGCTGTTTCATAGAGCTGTTGTTTACAATCCCCTAAAACAGGGTTCATCTTTAGTTTGCTTGCTTTAAGGCATATTCTCATGTAAATAATAGCAATAAATACAGAAATAACAATTCAGATAACAAAATTTGGATTTCAAAATGAGACTTAAGATACTTAAATGGTATGCATCGGTGTCCTGAATGACTTTAACTTCAAAACATAGACGCCTACTATCATGAAAGCTTAAATCACCATGTTTTTTAGATGAGCTGTACTTAAAAATTAATAAATCTATATTGAATTATTAAATTATTATTTAGGCTACACACAACCTTAGGCTTACAATTTCAGTCTTAATTGGTAATTTAACCAATCGTCTCTCTTCTGCTATTATTTTTTATACAACAAAGATTGTACGTGGAAAGCTAATCACATGGATTTAGTGTTCATTTGTAGGCAACTTGGACCAGCTGCAATTGCTGTTCAAAAGTTGTATGGTTGCCTAGGACCTGGGTGTCAGAACTTGAAAAATCTAGCCATAGTACTGCTGGTTTGGCTGCCCTGTACACTTAAGTAGCAGTATGGTTGCTCTTTATGCAGAGATTAGTTTCTCCTTGCTTCCCCCTTTATGTACGTACTTGTTTCATTAGTGCAGCTTCATAAACCAATGAATTTCCATTGACCAGTGTGTTTGCATACTTTAGCAATATAAATGAATTTAAAATTAACTTCCATTTGCTTCTTTACTAGAGAGTTTGCCATTATATTTGTGTTATATGTAAAGTCATGGAAGTCATGCATTATTTCATTCTATAAACTCTTTTTACCATTTGTCTACTGAAAGAGTTTTTAGAAGACTGAAAAAATTCCAGACAAATAGCTATTTTAAGGTACAATTAAGAATTCAAGATGTGCTTTCAACTGCAGGGAGATAAATTTTAATTCATGCTATAACAAAGGAAAATACACAGAAGAATGAAGTTGTTTATGAGATCACAAAGCTCTGTAATTTCTTAATCATAATAGTTCATTTATTGCATAATGATCTCATGGGATGAAGATTATGTTGGTTTTGTGCATTTCTTAATATACTTGCCTCCTTATAAACCATAACTTCTTGTCCTTTACAGCCTTACCCAGACCTTATAATGTCCATAATGGTTTTTCATACCCTCATATTCCTTTTTTTACACTTTTTAACCTTAATCATAATTTTATTGAAGAATTTGAAACACTTCTTTGCACCTTAATTCTCAGGTATCCTCTGTAAATGTAAGTGGAATTTATTGTATCTAGCTCTAAATGAAAACTGTGATTTTTAGGAGGAAAAAAGAACAAAATTCACAGCTATTGCTCAGTTGTTTTCTGCCCCTGAGGGTATCTGATTACATGCTGCTTTTTTAACAACAAAGTTCCTGAGTGCCCAGAACTGCCCCAGTCTGAGCAGCTTATCTCTTGCCTTAGACCCACAGTTCTTTTGTTTGATCATTCTATGTCTCATCCCCTTGAGGGAACTAATCTTGTAAACACTGATAGCCATCTGGAAAACACTATGACAGTCCTCATAGTGAGACTTTCAACTTTCCACAAAATGCGACTATGACAGTTTTTTGGCAAAACACTACAAGAAGATGTGTGCTTTTTATACATGGCAAGAACTCCCACTAAAGAAAGAAATCTAGGTTTAGGCTCATCTTCAGTCTTTGTTCAAACTGGTACTGCACCTTCCAGAAAGTGATCCAACCCCCAATTTACAGACAAAGGGTGTGCAGCTAAGATTAAGATGCAGACCTGGTGCAGTTTTGCACAACAGGTGTGACCCTTTGTTGTTGTAGGAGATGGAATTGCCCTGCCACTCCATCATGGTCAGTTTTTAAAGCCCTATGTCAAGCTTTGGCTCAGCTGTGTGAAGAGCTACTGAGCCAGTGCAAGGATTCAAGCCAGGATGAGGTACATGTACCGCACTGAGAGGCTACCAAGGGTAACAAGATGTGTGCATTAATTACTTTGTGATAATTGTCGATATCCATTTTTTACCTTGCCCTGTATATGAAGTAGCCCCCTCCTCTCTTGCTGGGAGATTCAACTTCCTTGAATTACCTCATTTTCCACAAGGTAAATCTATGGTATGCACACAGGAAGCTACCGCAGTGCAGCTGACATGCCATAACTTGGACTTCTGCACCATACACATTTATTGGGATACATTGCTGTAAGGACTGCAGCAATCACAGGGGTGACTGTACGTCACAGGGAATTTGCTTTACCACAGCTTTTTTTCTTGCCCTCCAGTTGAAGCTGTATTACTGTGCAAAAAGAAAAGGAAAGAGTCAGGGATAAGAGAGAAGGTGAGCCTGACTTGGTGGTGAGAGCACTGTACTGGGAAGTGAAGATGAAGGTATAGTCCTATAAAAGAGTTTGGGACCCAGGATTTCTGATTCCTGAATGCTGTAGCAGCTTGGCATCATTGCTTCCCTCGTGGTGACTGTGCTCTGCCACAGAAAAAGGCTGGCTCCTGCCTGGAAAGTCACCACCTCGCTGGCACTTCCCCACAAAGGCTGTAGGGCTCTGGATCCAGGGCTGATAGTGATGCCTGCTTTGTAGCACTTGGGAAAGCAGCTGAATTCCTGCTGCATCTGTATTTAATGTTTCTTATTGCGAAAGCCACAAACCGCTAGATGTTTAAACTGTTTTTGATCCAAGTCTGAAGTGCCCTGTTCTCTGTAGGCACTGGAGTGAGTCTTCAGCCAATACAGGGTTTTGAGCCTGCTGCAAGCTGGACTGGGCTAGGTTTAGTTTAGTCTCATAGTTTAGGTTTCTTGAACCTAATGCTTGGAATTAAAATCTAATTGTCCTTCCTGGACAGTGGTTTCCATATCATTTTACTTGGGCTTCTGCATAATTAACATCTAGTAATCTAAGTAAGGAAGAGCCAGGATGCATCTAGTCACATGTCCCAAAGAGCACATTCATGCTTCAGATTGCCTACATACCAAGAACGCCGTACTTCCTGACAAAAGAGCATTTCTTAATCCTCAATTTTAAACCGTTTTATGAACTTTGTTCTGTTGCAAACCTAATGATAGACTCTAGGGCTATATAAAAGTGTTGTAAGTAAATAAATGTTGGAGTTATATACAGGACTATTATGCTTAGTTAGTTTGTACATATCTGGCTTTATACTGGTTTAAATACAAGTGTTGAATCATAGGGGAAAAATGAAAAAAAAAAATTACTTCTGTGATGTCTGTGTTCACTCCCAGGTCTGTATTATATTCAGCGATTTTGGAAAAATGCAGAATGTTTGCAATCTACTCATTGAAAAGTTAGGAACCTCTGTTACCATCAGTCCACCTCATTTCTACCATACACCAGAAGCTGTAGACACCCTTCGGTAAGTTCTCTCTCATGTCACAAATTTACACTCTCTGATAACTGTTAATATGAATACATAATTTATACTGTTTGTAATAGGAGCAAATAGTTTCCTTCATACCTATTAAAATTTATGTTCAAAGATTTCAGTATTTGTTTTAAATATAACTTACAAATTAATGCCGTTCAACCTAGAAGATACAGCTTGTTCTTTTTACACTGTCCCTGTGCAAAAGTAGAATGTAGTAAAAAACATTTTTCCACTGATTACCATTGGGAGTATAATCTACTGTGAATATTAGGTCAACAGAATTTGACTTTGGTTACATCAGCAAGTATAGATTTAATTTGTATTTATTCATAAAGGTACAAGTGTGTTACCAGGTGTTGATAATTCTAAGTACCCTTGCCAATTCCCATTACTCTTAGCTGCTGACATGACCTGAAAAGAACCATGTACGGTGCCTGTTCAGCACCGAAACATGGAGCTCATGGTCTTGATATTTTAGGCGTTAACTATTCAACGTCCTGCTTCTCACATTGGCAGGGCAGAGAGAAGTTTAATCTTGGTTTGGGTTTTGCCTCTTTAAAGAAAAGAATCATGCCTGCTCCAAGAAGCAAAGTCAACTAGCTGCTGCTAATGTTCTGGAGATGTCGGAAGTGTATCTGTCTATCTCAAAGGCATCTACGCAGGAGTCTGGAAATCAAGCCAGTGAGGTTTAACGTGCTAGTATGCCTTACAGCTGGGCCACCCAAACGCCTGGAGCAAGGGTTGAACTCTTGCTCTGCACCACACACCACAGATGCCTGCAGCATATAGGTGTTAGAAATGCTCGACCCTAGCTGATGAGGATGCTGATACTCCCTCCGCACACTCCTCCCTCAAACTCCAAAACTACCACCCAGAAGCTGGGAGAAGGTGATGTGCCTTACATCTATGCAGATAGAAAAGCTGAGGTGTTAAAAACAAAAATGCTTGACAGGAATACTTGTACATCAGTTGGCCCTGCTTGTTATTGTGCTGCTTTTTCTACCTCTCAGCCGTCAAGTATGTGTGGCAGCTGTTGGAAACACACGGCGGAAAGCTCAAGAAGTCTGTCGACTGTTTGGCCAGTCATTGGGAAAACCTTTATTAATAAAAGAAGAAGAAACAAAAGAATGGGGAGGCCACATAGACAGTCATCTATCGAACTCCCCAGATTCACTGACCCTGCAGGAAAGAATCCAGAATGCTACTGCTTATGCTTCTTGTAGAGTGTTTGCTGTGTTTGAGATAAAGGGAAAAGAAAACAGAAGACATAAGTTGCTCTAGGAACTTTCAAATCCTACACATTTTCTTAATAAAATTTTTATGCTTTGAGGTTTTTTGTTGTTGTTTTTTTTACTTTATTCTTATGGGAGCAAGTATTGTTAAGAGAGGCTATTAAGAATGAGGTTTGTGTAGTAAGCCAAAGTAGAGGATTTCTTAACATATCTGTCCAGGTGCAAAAAAGTAGACTAACTCTTCTCTTCTTTGCCTGTGTCATTTGAAAGCAGCACAATGAGTACTGCATTTAGCTCTGGGGCCCCCAACATAAGGAGGACATGGACCTGTTGGAGCAAGTCCAGAGGAGGGCCATGAAGATGATCAGGGGGCAGCAGCACCTCCCTTATGAAGACAGGCTGAGAGAGTTGAGGTTTTTTAGCCTGGAGAAGAGAAGGCTCTGGGGAGACCGCATAGGAGCCTTCCAGTACTTAAAGGGGGCCTACAGGAAAGATGGGGAGGGACTCTTTATCAGGGAGTCTAGTGATAGGATGAGGGGTAATGGATTTAAACTGAAAGAGAGTAGATTTAGATTAGATGGAAGGAAGAAATTCTTCACTGTGAGGGTGGTGAGGCACTGGAACAGGTTGCCCAGAGAGGCTGTGGCTGCCCCATCCCTGGCAGTGTTCAAGGCCAGGTTGGATGGGGCTTTGAGCAACCTGCTCTAGTGAAGGTGTCCCTGCCCACAGCAGCGGGGTGATCTTTAAGGTCCCTTCCAACCCAAACCATTCTGTTATTCTGTGCATGCTTTTGTAGAGTAGACAAAGTATTGCAGGATTTACCTACTACAGCCCTCGCCAGAAATATTTCAGTTCCTGTTGCCCTTCATTTAGCTCTATCCCCTAAAATTAAGGTTACAATTAATTCTGAAAGTACAGCTCTTAACTGTTTAGCTTCTTCCTCTGCCCCCTGTAAAAGGGCAAGATATTTGATGTGCAAAACCTTTCGTACTCCTCGCTGAAACTGGGCTATATTTAAACCTTTCCTCCCAAAGCTGGAAGGAAATTAATCCCCATCCCGAGTCATGGTAAACTGAACATGCAGTCTGTTTGCTTCTAACAAAATGGATTGTTCAATATATAACATGCTTAGGAATGTTTTATTTCATCATAGGAAAAAATATACATTAATTTTATCCTGGTGTCGTATTTGCTCAAGTTTAAAAAGGAAATAGACAAGTATTTCAGTCATGAGGATAGTTTTTTTTCAACCATGGCTGCATAATGTATTTTGATCCATCATATCCACTGAAATAGGCTTTTGTATCAGGGTGATATACCTGAGAAAATGATATTTCAGTTGAATAAGCACCAGAATTAGCAATAAATACAAACTGATACTTAAAAGAATCATTAAAGTTACTACAGTTAACTTTTTGAAAACTCCTGATTAGTTTTTAAATACATTACGTACATAGAGTTACTTTCAGTGGGATTTTCCATGTACCTTAACCTAATTTATGTCATCAGAACAGTCGTGTTCTCAAAGTACTGTACAAATGCTGAACCCATCTATCTCATGAGATACTACATGCTAGATCTACACCAGCATTGATGTTTTGAAGTTGGCACTATTTCTTATTGAAGTAGTTGCCACTCATTTGTTGCTGATAGAGCTATTTGTTACTTTTTTCAGCTGGATCAGTTATCTAATCCAATTAGGCAGCAGGAACAGTAAAGAAGTTGGGGAAATGCTGAAGTCACACCAAGTTGATGGCCTTAGGTTCCACGATGTCCAACTTGAAGGTTCAAATCCACAAAGGGCAATCCAAGTTACATGCTGTGTCAGGATGCAGAAAGCCTGCAGTGAGGGGGTTAGGACAAGTCTAAGCATTTTCCCATTAGTCTCAACTCTTCAGGAAATTGCCTATTAGGCTGTAGGAAAGGCTGAGTGAGGGCGATCCACAGACCTTTTCAACTTGAGATACAGGTATGACTCACCATTTGCAATTAATTGCAACTAGACAACTTTCAAATACCTGATTTTGTGAACTTGTTACCATCAGTTCCCCTAATCTGTGGGGAGAATTAGCCCGTCATGCAGGTGAATAAAGCAGTCTGATATCCTAAAGGCTAGTTTACGCAAGGTAAATGTCTAAGGTGAAGTATCAGTTTCTCCCCGTGGACTATAAAGGAAACGGAAGGTAGCCAGCTGACAGACTAATGAAAGGTGCATTTTTTAGACACATAAGTTAGAGTGGTGAGAACCCAGTTTTAAATACTTGTGACACTTACCTGAGACAGCATAGTTCCCGCTCCTAAGTCAGGCACATTAGCACATTTTGTATTACAATCAGTGGCTAAAAAAGCAGCAAGGACTGGAACTAAGTTTCTCTCAAATAAAAGGGGTAATAGTGTCACACTGTTCAGCCCCATCGATTGAGGGGGGTCCTTTATGTGCAGTGGCACAGTTTCTAGAAAGAACATGGAGAGTCTTCAGGCCAGCCTAACTTACACCGTTCCTCTCGGGGGTTCTCCTGAAAGGCAAAAGATGCCAATTTGAATCTCCGGTGTTTGACTAGACCAAGCATCTCCTGTTAGATGAATGGTTCAGCTGCTTGCTGTTATTTTAAATACAGATACTGCCACTATCTACTGTTTAAAAGAAGGCATCCACAATAGCACTGGATCACTTGCAAAAAGCTGTTTGTATGTGGCATGCATGCTTGAAGGCTGTTTTCCAGATCAGTCTCAGCAGCAGCTGAGCAGGAGCTGATTGAAATTCAGATTTTTCAGAGTGGAACTGAAAAACCAATGTACTTTGCTAGAGCCAGTACAGAAAGATTAAATGACTCGTCCAACTTTGATAGGTCAGTGAAGTCCTAAAACAAAAGTCCATGTCTGCAACAGCCTGTACATAACAGAAGTCTTGTTGCTAAAACGCTTAAAAAACTAAGCAGTCAGATACTCTGAAGTAGGCAGTACCTGGCTTTGGTCATTTATCACCTTCCAAAAACACATACTTGAAAGTAGAGCAGTAATTTGTTTATCTGCTTTCTCTATTAGTTTGCACTAACTTTGCAAAATAGACAGTATCTATTAAGCCAAAGGTCAGCCAACTTTTAAAGGCACAGGATAACAAACAAGTTGGAACTGAATAAAAAATGAATACTGCCTCTAATCCCATAATAATTGTTATCTCTTCCTCAGGAATGTAAGCTGTAGATTTGCCAAATCCATTTGCTTTGTTAATTAGAATTCAATAGTGAGGAGTATCTTTTAGATCCTGTAAAAATAGAAGGAAAATAAATAGCCTCAAGGGGAGGTGATGACTGAAAATTGCATTATGTAATCAGTTAACTCTCACCAGGCATACAGAACCTAAACCCACTCCTTATACACATACAGCAAATTCATTTTTATGATCTCACTAACATCAGTTTGGAAAATTAAATATAAAGCAATCAAACCTGTAATATGTGAAGTTCTTGGCGTATCTGAAACATTTTTTAATAGTCAAGATTTTAATTAACATTTTCTCCCATAGATCTTGCAAGAAACATGACTTAGAATATCCCTGCTTTTTGTATATAGGTCCTATAAGAATTTGTTAGTCACCCTTCTTCCTTCACAAGTGGCAAGAGAGAACACCGGAGAGAAAGAGGCAAATTTGGAACATAATACCACCTCTGACAATCTTGGTCCTGATCCTGGACAGCACTAAGGCAACTGACATGTTCATATAAAAATCTTCCAGCCAAGAAAGGAAAAGTATGGCTTACTATTATTTTTACAGTGCCTATGAAAACAAATCGTGGGCCAGGGTCCCACCATGCTTACTACTATCCATAAACATTCCTGCCCAAAGTAACCCACAATCTAAATACAAAAAAATGGTGAATACAGACAGATAACTGGAGTTTATGAAGCAGTTTGTATCGATCAATGTGACAGGCAGTGGCCTCTGCTCAACAATTTAGTAAAGAACTGAAAGTCAGAGAAAGGCAAGGAAAAGTTGGGCTGAAAGCCTGGCTAATGTTTAGAGGGGATTTGCAAGGACCGAGCTTAGTAGTTGCCTTGCAAAGGTCCAGAAGGCATTTTGCATAGCTGATGCATGTAACATGATAGGCAAAGGCAAGTTAAAAAAACCCAGAAGACACACATTTAAACCACGTCACGACTATTGAAATTAAAAAAACAATAAAGATGAACACAAGGTCACTGGGAGAACGGAACAATATAAGGTACATAAAAAGAATCAGAACGCCATAATGGGGAATTCATGGGTGTTCAGTTGGTGACAACAATACTGAGAGGAGAAAAGGAGAGGAGAAAAGAAAGCAAGGATGCAGGTGTTTTAGAAGCCAAAGATGAGTGGCAGGTGGATAAAATTACAGCGGGGAAGGAACAAAATGCACAAAACAGGACTGAATGTCTGCTCCCAGCTGAACATGAATTCTCTGCTACAGGCAGAGTTTCTCATTTTTTTCTCATTTTCAGTCCTCTTTGACTTAATGATCAGTGCCTTCCTGCCACTTAAGCAGCATGTCAGCAGCCAACCCACAGAGTATGCAGCACTGCATTATCAGACCAGCACTGTCAACAAAGATTTAGCATCTGATTTTCAAATACAACAAGGACTTAAGCTAGAGAATTTCAAAAGCTTCAAGAATTGTAACAAAAATAAGTTGTCAAATAGATTTACATTCCAAGTATCCAGATCCCCCAAAACATTGCTTTCTAACTGAAATTCATTAAACACAAAGGATTACTTGCCTTTCTTAGGTGCAATGGAGATGTTACCACTTATTGATGATCAGATAAAAGATGTTAACAGCGCCTCAACTTTAGTAACACACCAGGAGAAATCCATTCAAACATTGTAGGTTCACGCTGCTACTGTAAATACAACTCTGTATTAAAAGTGAGTCATCTTAATTCGAGACGTGTCCAGTACAACCTTGACCAGCGAAGCTTAACCAGTCAGTGGTGCAAAAGCAAAGCTCTGCTGGGACAACAGCGCAGAAGAAGTGGAGGTACCGCTCAGCTGCACAGGTGATATGGGGCTCTTAAGTATTTTCCATTAAGTTAGCAGGAAGTCTGTCTGTAACAG